TCTGAGAGTTGAATTCTTTAGATCTAGTTCTAAATCTAGGAGTTATCCTTTCTCGTCTAAATAAAAAGAAAAAGTAACTTTCAAAGCATATAAGCTATTATAACTAGCAAAAATAGCAAGCATGTGAAACATTTTAAAAAATCATTAAATTAGCAAAAACATGGACACTGATATGTAATACAATGGCCTCATTATAGAGGGAAATTTTCAAATAAAATTGTGAAATGCTATCATTTTCTCAAAAGAGGATCCAAAGTGGTATGGGTAAGCAAGACGAACCAACTGAACTGAGAACCGTCGGATCATATTGAACTGGCCGATTCGGTCCGATTTCCGGAAGTGCCGATCCGATTCCCAGGTCCTAAAAATGGAACCGGTATTTAGGTGGTCCAGTTCCCTGCTCCATGGGGGGAATCGGATCGAACCAGATCTCTAGGATCAATTATTTTTTATTTATTTATAAATAATACTAAACAACACTTTGGTGATGATACATTATCGACAGCAATGATGTGATGCGTGAAAAATTAATCCCTAGAGAAAGAAAATGCCAAAGTGAAGATAGCAAGGGTGACCATGATTTCAGGGTAGAACTTAAAACCTAAAATCGAAACCGGTGGGAACCTGTCCGGTTCCAGGTTTCAGGGTATGCAGGTAGGTTTCAGGTTCCAAAATACGAAGAATCTGTTTCAACGGATAGGTTTCAGATTCCAAGTGGAACCTGTACGAAATTTAGAACCACTCACTCTTAGAAGATAGAAGTAAAGAGAAAGCAATCGGTGCTATGAGGAAAAGGAAAAAAGCTACAAAACCCAAAAACAAGGACCCATAAAAAGTCAAACGAAAGACCAAAAATCGAAGCTCTCATAGAAATCTTTCGGGGAAAAGAAACCACATACAGTTGGGAACTTGTTGCTGGTGTAGCAGATAAGCATGCTAGTCTTGGCCATAGCCCCATCGCCCACTGGAACGCACTTGATGGGAAGGGTTTAATGAGGGGTTTCTTGAAGTGAAAGGGACAACGGTTCCAGAAACTGGAACTGATCCTCCTGGTCCGATTTCCGGGTGGGACCGAACCGGAACCGATCACCATTACAAAGTGGACGTCTCATTCTGCTTCACCAGCTGCGATTGTCCCCAGACCACCACTCGAGAGTTCTTCAGTTAGTTAGACATTGCATTCAAGTAAATGGCATGTTCCTTCTAGGTTGGGTCTCCTATATGTACAGCAGTACTGATCATCTGTCCAAGAAATCTTACATACCAATGTATTACCGAGTTCACCAGAAGAGAATTGAATTCTTCACTGTGCAGTTCCTCCTACTTTTTGTCACACAATGACCTTTAAGTTGAAATTTAAATGCAGAAACATCACCGATCAACCTTAAAGTTCAAATTTACCAACATTTGTCGGGAGTTCACTAACGGCCTAATGTTACCAACTTACATAAGAATCTAGCAACCACTTTTAAATTTACCAATGATTTTGATAATTTACCAACAATTATTGGAATGCAGAAACATCACCGATCAACGGAGACATTCAACTTTTGGAACTGTCATAGTAATGGGAAATGTCCCTGATGAAGGAATTGATGTTATTCTCAGTCGATCCATCTTTTCCGATTGCTTGCAGGCATACCTCCTGGAGATTCTTAGCCTGTCTCCTGATCTCTCTGCTTTCATCGTCTTCCAAATCCATGAACTTACGCACGAGCCCCTTGATATCCGTGCCCACCCTCCATCCGACCTTCCAGTCCTCGACGACTAGTGTTGCATTACGGCCTTGATCCATAGCTATGGGATATGCGAGCAGAGGAACCCCGGTGAAAATAGCTTCCCAAATGGAATTCCATCCGCAGTGCGGCCAAAACCCGCCAACCGACGAATGTGACAGCACCCTCAACTGGTCGCACCATGGCACGACTATTCCCCTATCACCGCACAACTCTCTCAACCTTGTGGCTTCCTCGCGCACCACCCACATGAAACGAATGCCCGCTGTCACGCAAGCACCCTGCGATCTCATCCATCTTAGAGCCGGAGACCGAGAGAAAGCTTCCGAGGGAGATATATAGGACGGAATCACTTGGCTGACAGTCCAACCACTTTAAGTACTCGGCATCATTCAAACAAGAGTCATCTGCAAGTCCAGAGAAATGGATGGCCGAACCAATAGTATAGACTGGGAAAGAAAAGCTAGCTTTTAGAGCATTGACAGCCGGATATTCCACCTCATACACGGTCGCGAGCAAGAGATACTTAGCCTCACGTACGATGCTAAATGCATCGAGGAAGTTTTGGAGGATTGAATCAATCTTCCCGGAACTGATTAAGTCTTGTCCAGGAATGTGACCGACCCGCTCGTCCCCTTTTTCTGTGACAAAGCAAAGACAGAGAAGAGGACATCAACAGACCCCATCTTCGTGCGCATACAGCAAAGGCCGCTTTTTACTAGTTTTTTCGACGAACTGTTATTCAGACACAACTGGCACACTGTCTCTGCGTAAGCAGTCACCTCTATGCAGGAACTCCAATTTAAATGAACTGAAATGAAAGCATTTCAAGATTGCCCATCTTTATAGGTTGGTCATCTTGTCCGTCGATACACAAAAACTTCAATCTGGAGAATTTTTTATGCTGTAGAAGCTTCTGAAAAAGCATTCTCTGATCTGAAATGCGGCCAATTGAGAAGTTTGAGGAACTATAGTGAAACTCATTGTTTAGATTTTTGCCTAATAGATTATGCTAATCACCGTAAAGAAACAGGAGACCCCCTTAGAAAACAGAAGTTCCCAACAGTGCTGTGTTTTTAGGCCTACCAACCATTGTATGAACAGAGACACTGTAATTGCAGATCCATAAGTCATTGATGCGACAATATTAAGACAAAGCGGAGACTGAGCTTTACCTGGCAAATCAGCCGGGATGTGACCGTTTCGTTGATGGAAGTGATGGAAGAAGGAGAAACCCGACCGACCCGTTGGCCAGAACGATGCCACTGGAATATTCCTCCGGTTCCCCGCGCGGAGGGCCCAGCTCAGGAAAATGTCGGCCACGATGACACTCGGCGTAGGCCGGAGCCGATCCTGCAGCTCCTCGAATGGACCTCCCATCTTGGCGAAAACGGCGTCGTTGAATTCGGAGTGGTGCTGAGCCCGGACCAGCTCCGAGGGGAGCACGTTCGGGATTGTGGCAAAGGATATGTTGGCAGGCTTAGGCTCGTCGCTGATGAAGCCGAGCCACTCCTCGGTCACGACGAAGGTGACGGTAATTTCTGGGACTCTGGAGGACAGAATCTTGCACAGGTTCATCATGGGGTTGATGTGGCCTTGTCCTGGGTACGGCATCGCCACTATGTGGAGGCTCCCGGCACCAGCGCCGGCGGCGGCCACGGCCGAGGTTAATGACAATGGAGCTTCCATTTTCTTCAAGTTGCGGCAAGCCGTCCAACCAGTGGATTTTTCTTGGAGTTCAATTGAGCTTGTCGAACTAGGTGAGTTGACTCATCGGTCGGCGAGTGGGGGAGGTAAAATAATGGAGCTAGCGTACACACCCTTCTCCTCCAACAGGTTAAAGTGTACCAAGTTTTATACGAAATTATCGCCACTTTTAAAAGATACCGACTATTTCAGTGATTTACAAACATTTATCCTGCAGAGTTTAAGTTAACAGCTCTTTTCTCAAATTACCAGTCAGTCATCAACATTTATTTAGTTGCTTTCAATTACTAATTATCCCGAGAGAAAATGACATATACAGTCCCCGAACTTCGGTCCAATGTGCAATGGGGTCCCTGAACTTTTAATTTTTTCAATGTGGTCCATAAATTTTAACCAAATGTGCATTGTGGACCCTGAACTTTTAATTTATTCAATGTCGTCCCTGAATTTTTTGTATATGTTCAGTTTAGTCCCTGAACTATGTGAAAATGTTCACTGTACTACATTGGGTTAAAGTTCTGAAACCACATTGAACAAATTAAAAATTCAGGGACCACATTACACATTTGGCTGAAGTTTAAGGACTATTTATGTCATTTTCCCTTGTTCCAATAATTTACCAACAATTATTGCCAATATATATTCCAAAGCGTTATAAATCTTCCCATCTTACTAACTTTAGAAAGTTACTAATAGTTACATGAAATTATTTATTCTTACACTAGTCCACCAACTAATGTTTATTTCTTTGTTTCAAAAGTACCAATTAATGCAATAATTGTACCAATACTTCTTTAAGAGTTTACCGACGGGTTGAAGGAAGTCATCAACTCTTTTCAACATTACCGAAAATTCTACTAATTCATATTTATTTGCTGAGTTTAAGTTACCAAAGTTTGACATGAATATGAATTACTCATGGATCTACTAACACCTGTACGGAAACTTTCAATTCTTATTTGGCGACTGTAACACGCCCGTAACCGACTCAATTAAATATTGGTAAATCATAAAAAAAAAAAAATTGGTAAATTGGAACAATCCAATCAATATTGGTAAGTAACTGTGATTAGAATTTGTAATTTCGTATAAAACTAATAACTTTAACACCTTGGTAATCTGCGAAAACAAATGTTGGCAAATTTTTGAAACGGTTGGTTATTTGAAAAAATTAAATAATTGTGCAACTTTTTTTAAAGTGCTAGGAAGATGCTAATGTGTGACAGAACCGAACAAGTTGCCAATCAACTGTTCTTACACTTTCACGAACTTACCAGTACCGAAAATTATATTTCCGATTTTTAACACATGGAACACCAGAATTGTTCTTCTTACTTTTTTTTTGGTCGGAGAATTGTTCTTCGTACTTAAATTATTAGAAAACTTACTGTCGTATGTTAGAAACCATTGACATTTGAAACTTGCTTTGATGTATATAAAATACACAAATTACGTATGAATATTACTATAGAGACCAACGGATACATTCTTATCTAGAAACTTATGTATTATTAAGCAAATATAATTTACTCTATTCAAAGAGTTACAAACAATATTCAGATATTACTCTTCACAGTCATGTATTTTACTTCGAGGAGACTGGAATGCATGATCGGACAAGCACATTCTATCGCCAAAATCATGAGAGAAGCAAAAATTAAAGGGTGGGATACTCGTATAGTAGTAAGCATTCACCCTCGCAAAATTGACAGCGAACAAGAACCCTGGCAATGTTCAACGAGAGAATGGAGTACAAATTAATGTCCTAATTGTTCGCTGCACCGCGCGAAATGTCCCTAATGAAGGCGCTGATATTGGTCCCGGACGATCCCTCCGGTCTGATCGCGTGGCGGCATAACTCCTGAAGGTGTCCGGCCCTCCTCCTCAGTTCTTTGCTCTCACTGTCGCCCAAATCCATGAACTTGCGCACTAGCCCAGCAATGTCACCCTCGCCAACACTCCACCCAACCTTCCAATTGTCCACGACGATTTTGCAATTGTAACCTTGGTCCATGGCTATCGGGTACGCCAGGAACGGAAGCCCCGCGTAGACGCCCTCCTGGATCGAGTTCCATCCGCAGTGGGTCCAGAACCCCCCGACCGAGGGATGCGTCAATGCCCTCAACTGGTCGCACCACGGCACCACGATTGCCATGTCCCCCCCGGGCAACAGCTCCTTCAGCCTAGAAGCCTCGTCGCGCGCCACCCACAAGAACCGGACATTACTATTGCGCAACCCCGCTGCAATCTCATCCATTTTGGAGCTCGAGACCGAAAGGAAGCTGCCTAGGGACAGGTACAATACAGAGCTACCTGGCTGGAGGTCCAGCCACTTTATTATGTAATCCGAGTCGCTGTTCATGCGAGGATTGTCTTCGAGCTCAAAGTACGGGATGGATGGACCGACGGTGTAGATAGGAAACGACAGGCTCGGTTTCAGAGCATTGACAGTCTGAGATTCGATCTCGTACACAGAAGAAAGCAACAGGTACTGTGCTCGATGGACCCAATCGACTAGTAAGCGCAGTCTCTTCATCATCTGTTCGCTCCTTCCACGAACCAAGTCCGTCAAACGTATTGGAAGAATCCCAGGAATGTAATCCACCATCTCATCACCCTTTTCTGTGACGGAAAAGACAGTTACTCAGTAAATGATGTGAAAATGGACATCGAATATTGAGATTTATGTGCATCAAAACAGGAAGAACCACAGGAAATTGATTTGCGATTTGGTACGCAGAAATAGTATTGGTGCAGACTTTAGTTTCTTTGGTGAAAGGTACAGAGTTACAAAAGTTAAGTAGTGCCTACTTGCGGTTTTATCGGGTAGCTCGGAAGTTTGACGAGTTCTGATTTTGAACTAGACGTAGAACGACGGCTAACCTGACAAATTCTGAGGTAAATGGCCATTCTGCTCAAGAAGTTGGAGGTGGTAGAAGAAGGAGAAGTTTGAGGCCGCAGTAGGCGAAAACAAGGCCACCTGAATGTCCCTCCGGTTCCCAACGCGGACCAGCCAGGGCAGGAACATGTCGGCCACAATGAGGGTCGGCGGAGGGCGGAGCTGGTCGAGCACCTCCTCAAACGGGGCTTCCATCTTCGTGAAGACGGCCTCGGCGAACTCGGAGAAGTGCTGAGCCCGGACCCGCTCGGACGGGAGCACGTTGGGGATGGCAGCGAAGGATATGTTGCTTGGCTTCTGGTCACAGCCGATGAGGCCGAGCCACTCCTCGGTGAGGACGAAGGTGATGGCGACGTGCGGGGCTCGTGAGGCTAGGATCTTGCACAGGTTCATCGCGGGGTTGATGTGCCCTCGCGCGGGAAAAGGCATCGCCACCACATGGCAGGTTGATGCTTGGCGGTCCATGTGATCACTTAGCGGCGGCGGGCGGTGACGTTGAGGAAGTGGTCGTTTGTTTCGACGGGCCGCGGCGGACGAAATTGGCCAGTGGCCGAGTGAAGAGAGGGGAGCGATTGATTACAGGGCAAATTCCGAGCACCGGACTAGGTAAGTGATAGCGTAACGAGATCAGACGAAAGTCGTGCCTCACCAAATGAATTTGTCTGTGGTTGTGTCTGATCCACTTTAGCTCATGATGGTGACGGCCAGCAATAATTCAACGTGGGTACCCAAAATTCCACGTGTCGTTTGCTTGTTCAAGATGGTCAATGATGCTGTCTGATAAGCTTAGCAGGGGGTAAACTGGTAGGTGTTGCTTGCGGTGCTGAAGTCCCTTGGTGTTAGTTGAGTCGTGTGGTTGAAAATCACGTGGGGAGTAGCCAAAATTTGGAATTATAGATGAGTCCACGTTGAACCCTCGGCGGCTCGTAGCGTGCACTTTCTTTTGTACCATGTTGGTGGGAATCTCTATATAAATAGGCAGCACCTCTTTCCATTTCGTGTGCGTAGTGAAATAAAGCAACGTAGATAGCCGAGCGTTCAAAAAAAACGAGAGGAAAGAGTGAAGAAAATATATATGTGTGGGAGATGTAGGAGAGTGCCCCTCCATTTGTGAGTAGTGTGTGTGGGAGTGACGCGAGAAACTTGTGAGTGAGAAAGTACCATCAAGTGTGTGTACTCAAGTTATTTTATACTAATAGTGAAGATACATTACTATTTTAAGGAATAGCCGTACAAGCCTCACTCAATAAGTAAGATACTCAACAAATGATATCAGAGACGACGGTTAGGGATTGTGAGCCTAGTGATCGAGAGTTGTGATACGTGACGATAGTGGTCAGAGACCATTGTACGCGAGCGTGCGGTTAGGGACTAGAGTATGCCGGAGTTCTGTCAGTGCACGGTCGAGGACTTGTGATAGGTCTAGAAACCAAGCTTGATTGGTATAGTGCCGGTCATTATGACCAAGTCAGATGGAAAATATTTCAAGTTCGGTGAACAGCATCAAGAAGCTCAACATCTACAATTATAATAAATGGAGCACTTGCATGCAATTTTACCTGCTAGGTCAAGATTTATGGGATATCGTTGGCAGTGATAATACCACACCACTCAAGGATGATGAAGAGCGTAGGAAGTGCAAGATTAAAGCTGGTAAGGCTCTTCATGTTCTTGCCATTACAGTGGAAGATCAATTGTTGCAGCATACAAGAGTGCAAAGACCCTGAAGGCGGCATAGGCTTCTTTGGCAGCATTTTTGCGAGAACCAATGATGCCAAGTTACAACGACCGGAGAACGAGATACTGTCGATCTCGCAAAAGGATATGACTTTGTGCCGATATTTTTCCAAGGTTAAAATCTATCTGTGAAGAAATTTCAATGTTGGATCCTTAAATTGCCATCTTTGAGACTATTTTGAAAAGAATCGTCTTTCACGGGGTAAGAACAGAGTATAATGGTATTGTTATGATCATCCGTGGATGGGCTAAACATCCAACTCTAACGGAGTTGGAAAATAATTTGGCCAACTAAGAGGCTTTAGACAAACAGATTTCTAAGGTCCCGGTAAAGAATGATGAAAGTGCCCTCTTTAGTAATAAATGAGGGTTTAAGAGCTAGAGGAGAAATGGTGTTGGCACTAGAGATGGTAAACTGAGGAAAAACCGCGGAGATTGGCAAGGTGACCAGAAGGGACAAGTGCTCAGCTAAGGGGAGCTCGCCGAGATCGATACGAAGATAACAATAATGAAAATAAAAACAGCTGGAGACAAGATAGTTGATGTTATATTGTGGCAACATGGGTTACTTTGCCAGGGACTGTCGATTGAAAAGAGTTGAAATGGAAGAACAAGAAGAGCTTGTAGCCTCCTCCATCACCTAGTTTAAAGATGGGATGGCCCTCATCACTATAAGTGACAAATTAATCAATTATGAAAATGGATGAATAGTTGATTCGGGATGCTCCTATCATATGATCAAAGATCAAGGCAAGCTATCAAATATATATGAGTACACCGATAGACGAATAGTTGTCACTGCAAACAACTCAAGGTTGCCGATTACCCATGTTGATCAATTAATTATAACACTCCAGTTTAGTTCACATTATGTTGAGTTGCAAAATGTACATCACATGCCATGAGGATAAATATATTACTGGTGACACGACATTTACCTTTTCTTTCAACGTCAAAATAGTAATCGAGTGATCCTGAATTGTACTCGAGAGTCCTCATGTTCTTGCATTAGCACGTTTCTTTAGATGTCAGAGTAAAGACGAGCCGCCTTTCAAACCGCTCAGCCACAAGCACGTTGAAACTCGCTTGCCCTGTTCTTGATTTCCTTCCCATCCTCACTGTCCAAATCCCATGATCGTTTGGACAGTCTCAGCAATGCCTTTTCTTGACACCAATTCTTGTGTGTTGTCTTCTTCACTAGCCAACCAATCTTCCAGTCCCGCTCGACCTGCTTCCCGTTCGGAATTTGATCCAATAAAATTGGGAAGACAAGCATCGTGACGCCCTCGAAGATAGCTTCTAGAGGGGAGTTCCAGCCGTAATACGTCCAGAACCCTCCGACCGAAGAGTGGTTCAGCGCCTTCACTTGAACACGCCAGGGCACTGCCAGGCCCCTATTGCCGCAAACGACTTCTTTGACCCAAGCACCGGTGTCCCCGCTCACCCACAAGAACTAAACTCCCCTGTTGCGCATTCTGGTCACAAGCTCCTCCATTTGGTCGATCGAGACCGATGGGAAACTCCCCCGAGTAATTACAGGACGCAAGCTTCCGATTGAGAGTCTAGCCAACAGAAGTAATCGGGATGAGCTTTTTGAGATGCCAATAGGGAGGAATTAGTTTACCAACATAAATTTATGCAACTTACTAACGTGTTAAAGTCATTAAATCTTACACGAGATTATCAATTCTCTTTAGTCCACGTAGCAACTCTATTTATGTCACATCCCCAACTTTATAAGTATAGGGGCAATGACACAGCTGTCCTTCCACTCGAAGATCGTATTCTCAAAAGTAACCATATCAACCCGTTATTGAAATATATGCATCCATATATATTTGATAAAAATGTCATATAATTACAATTTCAAAGTTTCTATAATACATCGAAAATATATATTTGCATCTCCAACAAATAACTAACTCTGAAATTCATCATAGCCATTAACAACTCATACCAAAAAATCCCGATCTTCAAAATGTCTCTCTGATTACAATCATGTTCTCGTCCTATTGGTTGGAAGAACTCGAAAAGCAAGTAAAATGAATGGAATGAGCAACCACGGTCCAGTTAATAGTACATCCATTATAACATATCAAACATTCACTATGCATCTTTATAAACCGATGTCATAACTCATCAATTCCAAATGGAATATATAATATACGTAAAATATCAAAAGCGGATGATATCTTTCCAACAAAACTTTTTACATATAAGATCAATCAACATTGTCAACTCACAGTAACATATCAACCATCAATGGTCTATTCCCTTGATCGATCTTAATCAAATCAAACGTCAATGATCCATTTCATCGACTAATCTAATACTCAACATCTAACCTTGTTTGAATTCTTAGTGAGAAAACTGTGACAAAGGCAACCAATTTTTTCTCCTTGATTAGATCTCCACCTATATCAACTGGTAATGTGGCCCAAAAAGACGTCTTGATAACAGTATCCATACTTACCCCCTCAATGGGTTCTAATTACAGCGATATAAACATAATCTACTAATAACGCTTTCCAAAACCCATAAATCAAATCCAAAATCCAATCTCATAGGACATGTTCACAACCCAAATCAAATAACCTTTCATAGTTCAATTCATCAAGTAGAATACATCTCATAAAGCATTTCTCAAACCAATATGAATTATCTTTTAGTAATTTCTTTCATAGACACTTCTTTAACCATTTCAGAAACAAATAAGTTAGCAAATGCCCAATCCGAGATTATGTATCAAATATGCTATAAACATCAGTTTTCCTTCTCAAAGAAACATCAAACTTGTAATGTCTCTTTAATCATAATATATCTTTTTACCACTTCAAGACATTAGTTTTACGAAACCAAAGAAGAGATTAGTACCACTCATCTAGGAAAGTTGAAAACCAACTTGCGAAGGTTACTTAAGCTGATGTACTCGTATTCCTATTAATTAATCAAAAAACGATACCAAAATTTGGGTAATACATCAACTAAATTACGCTTATTTATCGATAAAACGACTTCTATGCACTAACAAAGAAACTTGTTTATAATAAACGCACATCTTTATCTCTTACGTGTATTCTTCATTACACGTAACTTTAGAATTTCATTCCGATCAAACTGTATTTCAAAATCGATTTTTGTCAAACCTTACAGCTCCACAACGCCCCAAACGAGAGAGAGAGAGAGAGAGAGAGAGAGCTCCTCTTATGATCTAATTTCAAAAATTACTCCTATTAAATGAATAATAGGCTTGAATACTTTTCAAGTATTGCAATACGGAGTTGATTCGGCTTATCGGGACGTTCGAATCAGCTATGCGCAAAAATTTTCTCTAATTTCTTTTCCCCTTTTTCCTTCTTCATGGACGAACTTCTTTGGTTTTAACGTCCAGCGCTCTCTCTCTCTCTTTCTTTTGTCATTCATCAAGCTTGCTAGGAGAAAGGGGAAGACTTTCTTAATTTACATGGGCTAAGGCTAACAAATAATGGGCTTGGCTTTTATTTCTAATTTTTTTTGTTTTAGGCCCAACATGTTAACAATTTAGATTTCTTCAAACATACTTATTGTTCCTATAAGTTAATGACATGTATTTGCAGAATTTACCAACAGGTTAAAGTCACCAACTTTTAGACGAAATTATCGCCACTTTTGAAAGATACCGACAATTTCAGTGATTTACTAGCATTTATCTTGCGGAGTTTAAGTTACCAACTGCTTTCTCAGATTACCAGCTCTTATTTCAGTCAGTCATCAACATTTATTTAGTTGTTTTCATTTACTGATTGTTCCAATAATTTACCAACAATTTTTTCCAATATATTTTCCAAAGTGTTACAAATCTTCCCATCTTACTAACTTTATAAAGTTACTAATAGTTACATGAAATTATTTATTCTCACTCTAGTCCACCTACTAATGTTAATTTCTTTGTTTCAAAAGGACCAATTATTGCAATAATTATACCAATACTTATTTAAGAGTTTACCAACGGGTTAAAGGAAATCTTCAACTCTTTCCAACATTACCAAAGATTCTACTTATTCATATTTATTTTCCGAGTTTAAGTTACCAAGTTTTACATAAATATGAATTATTTATGAATCTACTAACACTTTGCCGCGACTGCCCTTCCCCCTAAATTTTCGCATGATTAATTTTGGGCAAATTAAATTAAAAATAGGTGTCAACACACTTGTACGGACACTTTCAATTCGTTTTTGGCGACTGTAACACGCCCGTAACTGACTCAATTATATGTTGGTAAAATATAAAACTTTTGGTAATTTGGAACAATCCAATCAATATTGGTAAGTTACTATGATTAGAATTTGTAATTTCGTATAAAACTAAAAACTTCAACACCTTGGTAATCTGCTAAAAGAAATGTTGGTAAATTTTTGGAACGGTTGGTTATTTGAAAAAAATTAAAAAAAATTTGTGGAACTTGTTTTAAAGTGATAGGAAGATTCTAATGTGTGACAGAACCAAACAAGTTGCCAATCAACTTTTTTACCAACACTTTCACCAACTTACCAATACAAAAAATTATATTCCGATTTTTAACACATGGAACACCAGAATTGTTCTTCTTACTTACATCATTATTAAACTTACTGTCGTATGTTAAAAACCATTGACAGTTGAAACTTGCTTTGATGTACATAAAATACACAAATTACGTATGAATATTACTATAGAGACCAACAGATACATTCTTATCTAGAAACTTATGTATTATTAACCAAATATAATTTACTCTATTCAAAAAGTTACAAACAATATTCAGAAATTGCTTTCACTGTCACGTTTTTTACTTCGAAGAGGTTGGAACTGATAGGCCGGACAAAAGCATTCTATCACCAAAATCACAAAGGGACGCCAAATTAAAAGGTGGGATACTATAGAAGTAACCTTTAACCCTCACAAAATTGACAGCGAACAATAACCCTGGCTATGTTCAACAAGAGATTGAAGTACTAAATACTGTCCTGAATTTTCGCCGCACCGCATGAAATGTCCCTAATGAAGGCACCGATATTAGTACCGGACGATCCATCGGGTCCAATCGCGCGGCGGCATAACTCTTGAAGGTGGTCGACCCTCCTCCTCAGCTTTTTGCTCTCGCTGTTGCCCGAATCCATGAACTTACGCACTTGCCCCGCGATGTCTCCCTCATCCACCCTCCACCCGACCTTCCAATCATCCACGACGAGCTTGCAATTGGCACCTTGGTCCATGGCTATCGGGTACGCCAGGAATGGAAGCCCTGCATAGACACCCTCCAGGATCGAGTTCCACCCGCAATGGGTCCATAGCCCCCCGATCGATGGATGTGTCAATGCCCTCAACTGGTCGCACCACGTCACCACAATCCCCATGTCCCCGTCAGGCAACAGTTCCTTCAGCCTAGAAACCTCGTCGCGCGCCACCCACAAGAACCGGACATTACTGTTGCGCAACCCTGCCGCGATCTCATCTATTTTGGAGCTGGAAACCGAATGGAAGCTGCCTAGAGACAGGTACAAAACAGAGCTGCCCGGCTGGCTGTCCAGCCAATTTGTTACGTAGTTCGAGTCGCTGATCGAGCGAGGATCGTCTTCAAGCTCAAGGTACGGGATGGATGGACCGATGGTGTAAATAGGAAACGACAGGGTCGGCTTCAGAGCGTCGACCGCCTGAGATTCCATCTCGTACACAGAAGAAAGCAACAGGTACTGTGCTCGACGGACCCAACCGAGCATTGGGCGGACAATCTGCATAATCTTTTCATCAACGAAGTTCGAATGCGTTGAAGGAATCCCAGGAACGGAATCCACCGTTTCGTCCCCTTTTTTTGTGACAAAAAAAGACAATTACTCAGTAAATAATGTGAAATTGGACATCGAATTTTGGGATTCATGCGCATCAAACAGCAAGAACAACAGCTAATTGATTTGCGATTTTGTGCGCAGAAATAGTATGGGTCGAGACTTCAGTTTCTCTGGTGAAATGTACATTTTACGCTCGGAAATCTAACTAGTTCTAAAACGATGGCTGACCTGACAAATTATGTGGTAAATGGCCATTCTGCTCGGGAAGTTGGACGTGGGACAAGGAGGAGAAATTTGAGGCCGCAGTAGACCAAAACGAGGCCACCGGAATGTTCCTCTGATTCCCGACGCGGACCGCCCAGGGCAGGAACGTGTCTGCCACAATGAGGGTCGGCGGAGGGCGGAGCCGGTCGAGCACCTCCTCGAACGGGGCCTCCATCTTCGTGGAGACGGCCACGAAGAACTCGTAGTAGTGCTGAGCACGGACCCTCTCAGACGGTAGCACGTTCGGGATGGTGGCGAAGGATATGTTGCTCGGCTTCCGGTCAGAGCCGATGAGGGCGAGCCACTCCTCGGTGAGGACGAAGGTGATGGCGAGGTGCGGGGCTTGGGAGGCCAGGATCTTGCACAGGTTCATCATGGGGTTGATGTGGCCTCGTCCGGGATACGGCATCGCCACCACATGGTAGGTTGACGCCTGGCGGTCCATTTGATCGACTAGGCTGTGGACGGCGGCGACGTTGAGCGCGCAGTCGTTCGTTCTTACGGGCCGCCGAGAGACGGGAGCGATTAAAATTAGCGGGGCAAATTCTGACCACTGAGGGGAAAAGATTTGAGTATGTAAAGTGAAAATGTACGAGGTCCGAATGACGTCATGGCTTACCAAACACCCAACGACAATTCAACGCGAGCCCCCAAAATTTCCGGGTCTGGCTTGCTTGCTGTAGATGGTCATTAATGGCGTCTAATAAGCTTTTACCATTGGAATAAGATGTTGTTCAATACATGACAAGTGATGGCTGATATTTTTCTTCTTGGTTCGAAGTCAGGATGGATACTATAGGTCACTAACCGAGAACCTGAAAAGATTGGGAAAAATAAGATTGAACAATCACAACTCGATGAGTAGTACATATTTTTTTTAAGCAGATCAAGCAACCACTATGCATGTATATATATCAAATTATATACGAGTTATTTTGTTTCAACAAGTTTTATTCAATTGAGAAAATACTCATATAAATCATCATAAACATCAATGGTCAAGTCCATTGATCAATTTCATCAAAATCAAATGCCAATGGTATATTTCTTCGACTAATCTCAATTCACATGTCAATGATTCATTCATTGACTAATTTATTGCTCAATATACTATTATGGTCACGACACAATACCTAGTCACTAGGCAACCAAGATTCTACCATTGACAAGATCTCCACCTACAAAGTCAGTAGCTCGGCCTACAAGAATATCCTAACCGGTATGCATACCCACAAGCCCCTCAATGAGCGCACTGTGATATTGAGCATCAACAGCAATCCACAACATCCTTGACAATTCTCAAAACCAAATTCATAATCGATATAATAAATCGATTTACAAAATAAAGCATACAATCTTTCATAACTCAACTCATCCACCATTATACCTTTTGCAATTTATTTCATGAAAACTTCTTTAGCATTTCAAACAACAAATAGGGTAGTAAATGCTCGATCCAAAGTTATAAGTCTCATACCCTTTATTTTCAAAATATGAGTTTACAAAACTCAAAAAATATATAGTACTACTTACTTGGGAATACCCAAAAATCAAATAATGATGCTCACTCGAGCCAACAATCTCATAATCCTAACAATTAAACGAGAATCAACGTCAAAACCAAGTAAAATACTATAATAACTACGAAACGGCTATACTAAACTTAAATGCTAACAAAACGACTCCTATGCAAAAATAAATCGCTCACTTCAAGCGATTATTCAAGCCTAAATGCAACACGAAACTTGCACGCGAAACCTTAAAATTCTCACTCCGACCAAACCATTGCTCTAAACCGACTCCCGTCAAACCCACAATTTTACAACGCTATAATCCACCATTTCCATGAAATCCCATAACTCAACAACTCAAAAATCGGACTTTGCGGCTCGAGTTTTACAAAACTCCAAATATAAGCCCTACTCCCAAAAAATACATCGATTAGACGAACGAGAGCGTGAGCATTTCCCAGGCATTGCGATCAGTAGTTAATCCGGCTTGGCGAGGTGTCCACGTGCAAAAACCCATTCCTTCTCTCTTATTTCTTTTTTCTTTCCTTTCTTTTCTTCTTTCTCGGTGAGCTCTCTATTTCTGGGAGCTCTCGGTCACTTAAATGGCCCGAGCGTCACCGTATCAATGTTGATCGGGTCGATTTTTTTATTTTATTTTATTTTTTTTGCTTTTCCCCTTTTGACTTTGAAACCCATATTTGACGGTGATGATCAAAGAAACATTAGCAGTACAACTAATGGCCGAAAGCCGCAACCTAACAAGCCTCCATCATGTGACGAAATTGCACTTCCCCGCGACTTTTTGCAGCCGAGCACATGGATCAATCGACAGATCCTGAATTGTTGGTACTCGAGAGTCCACGGGTTCTTGCATTAGCACGTTATTTTCTTCGAGATGTCGCCGATCAAAGCATTGATGTCGGAGTAAGATGACCCGCCTGTTCAGGACCGCTTGGCCACAAGCTCGTTGAAGCTCGCTTGCCCTCTTCCTGATTTCCTTCCCATCCTCGCTGTCCAAAGTCCCATGAACCTCTGGACAGTCTCGGCAATGGCTTGTCTTGACACCAATTCTTGTATGTTGTCTTCTTCACTCGCCAACCAATCGTCCAGTCCCGCTCAACCTGCTTACCGTTGGCGACTAGATCCGGTGAAATCGGGAAGATGAGCATCGCGACGCCCGCGAAGATAGCTTCTAGAGTGGAGTTCCACCAGCAATGCATGCAGAACCCTTCGACCGAAGAGCGGTTCAAGCACCTTCGACTGATCACACCAGGACGCCGCCAGGCTCCTATCGCCGCAAACACCTTCTTTGACCCGAGCACCGGTGTCCCCGCTAGCCCACAAGAACTGAACTCCCCTGCTGCGCATTCTATCAACTTTTTTACCAACACTTTCATGAACTTACCTGTGCGGAAGATTATATTCCGATTTTTAACACATGGAACGCCAGAATTGTTCTTCTTACTTAAATTATTAGAAAACTTAATAATTATTACTGTCGTATGTTAAAAACCATTGACATTTGAAACTTGCCTTGATGTACATAAAATACACAAATTACGTATGAGTATTACTATAGCGACCAACAGATACATTCTTATCTAGAAACTTATGTGTTATTAACCAAATAGAGTTAACTCTATTGAATAAGTTACAAACAATATTAAGAAATTGCTTTTCATCGTCAAGTTTTTGTCTTCGAGGAGGTTGGAATTGTCACACCGGACAAAAACAATCTATCGCCAAAATCATGAGGGAAGCAAAATTGAAGGGTGCGAACAATAACCCTGGCTATGTTCAACAAGAGATTGAAGTACTAAATACTGTCCATTTTCACCGCACCGCACGAAATGTCCCTAATGAAGGCGCCGATATTAGTCCCGGACAATCCGTCAGGTTGAATCGCACGGCGGCATAACTCTCGAAGGCGGTCGACCCTCCTCCTCAGCTCTCTACTCTCGTTGTCGCCCGAATCCATGAACTTTTGCGCTAGCCCCGCGATGTCTCCCTCATCCACCCTCCACCCGACCTTCCAATCGTCCATGACGAGCTTGCAATTGAGACCTTGGTCCATGGCTATTGGGTACGCCAGGAATGGAAGCCCTGCATAGACACCCTCCAGGATCGAGTTCCACCCGCAATGGGTCCAGAGCCCCCCAACCGATGGATGTGTCAATGCCCTCAACTGGTCGCACCATGGCACCACAAACCCCATGTCTCTGTCGGGCAACAGTTCCTTCAGCCTAGAAACCTCGTCGCGCGCCACCCACAAGAACCGGACATTACTGTCACCCAACCCCGCCGCGATCTCATCTATTTCGGAGCTCGAGACCGAAAGGAAGCTGCCTAGAGACAGGTACAAAACAGAGCTGCCCGGCTGGCGGTCCAGCCAATCTATTGTGTAATTCGAGTCGCTGTTCAAGCGAGGATTGTCTTCAAGCTCAAAGTACGGGATGGATGGACCGATGGTGTAGATAGGAAACGACAGGGTCAGCTTCAGAGCGTCGACCACCTGAGATTCCATCTCGTACACAGAAGAAAGCAACAGGTACTGTGTTCGACGGACCCAGTTGAACCTTGGGCGCATTCTCTGCATAGCCTTTTCATCAACCAAGTCCGTCAAATGCATTGGACGGATCCCAGGAACGGAGCCCACCTTTTCGTCCCCTTTTTTGGTCACAAAAAAAGACAATATCTGAGTAAATAATTCGAAATTGGACATCGAATTTTGGGATTTAGGTGCATCAAAACAGCAAGAACAACATCTATCTGATTTGAGATTTTGTGCGCAGAAATAGTATGGGTCCAGACTTCAGTTTCTTTGGTGAAATGTACATTTTCTCGAGGTACGAAATTTTGTTAGTGCGTGCTCGTTAGCAAGACCGAGAAGATTTATCGTTTGGTAGGCAAGGCACAGGAATCTGACTAGTTCTAAAACGATGGCTGATCTGACAAATTCTGTGGTAAATGGCCATTCTGCTCAAGAACTAGGAAGTGGTACAAGGAGGAGAAATTTGAGGTCGCAGTAGTCCAAAACGAGGCCACCGGAATGTTCCGCTGGTTCCCGACTCGGACCGCCCAGGACAGGAGCGTGTCAGCCATGATGAGGGTCGGCGGAGGGCGGAGCCGGTCAAGCACCTCCTCAAACGGGGCCTCCATCTTCGTCTCCACGGCCAAGGAGAACTCAGACAAGTGCTGAGCACGGACCCTCTCAGACGGGATCACGTTCGGGATGGTGGCGAAGGATATGTTGCTCGGCTTCCGGTCGGAGCCGATGAGGGCAAGCCACTCCTCGGTTAGGACGAAGGTGATGGTGACGTGCGGGGCTTTGGGAGGCTAGGATCTTGCACAGGTTCATCATGGGGTTGATGTGGCCTCGTCCGGGATACGGCGTCGCCACCACTTGGCAGGTTGATGTTTGGCGGTCCATTTGATCGACCAGGCTGCGGACGGCGACGTTGAGTGCGTAGTCGTTCGTTCTGACGGGCCGGCCACGGATCAAATTGGCTAGTGGCCGAGCGAGAGACGGGAGCGATCAATTACGGGGAAAATTCCGACCATTGAGGGGAAAAGATTTGACAAGGAAAGTGCTGGCGTCATGCCTTACCAAATGAATTTGTCTGACCGACGCAAAACAAAGATATGGAGCGGCGCACATCTTTTGTGGCGTGTATGCTTCTTCAACTCATGGTGATGACACGACACCCAGCAATAATTCAACGTGGGTCCCCGCAATTTCCATATGTGGTTTTGCTTTTTCGAGATGGTGAATGATGGTGCTTGATAAGCTTTGTCGGAAGGGTAAAACGTTGTTCCATACATGATAGTTTGGACACTTCCGAATACATCTAGATCGATGAATCTGGTCGAATCCATCCAATTTAACCTGAGATTATGGACACAAAGCGCATGGCATCGAGTCCGTGTTTTGTTCTCTTCTCTAACATTGTCTTTTTTGTTATTTGCTTAAAAGAATTCTGTGGGGGGTAGAATTCAATTCGGTAATGATCAAAGAAACATTAGCGGTACAAAAACTGGTCGAAAGCCGCGATGGGCAAGCCTCTATTATGAATTGCGGGTACACGAGAGTCCTCGGGTTCTTGCATTAGCACGTTATTTTCTTTGAGATGTCGCCGATGAAAGCATTGATGTCGGAGTAAGAGGACCCGCCTTTCAGGACCGCTTGGCCACAAGCTCGTTGAAGCTCGTTTGCCTTCTTCCTGATTTCCTTCCCATCCTCACTGTCCAAGTCCATGAACCTCTGGACAGTCTCAGCAATGGCTTGTCTAGACACCAGCTTGTCCCTTGTCTTCTTCACCTTCCAACCAATCTTCCAGTCCTGCTCCACCTGCTTGCAGTTGGGAATTTGATCCCAAAAGATCGGGAAGGCGAGCATCGGGACACCGGCAAAGACAGCTTCCATGGTGGAGTTCAACCCACAGTGCGTCCAGAACCCTCCAACCGAAGAGTGGTTCAGCACCTTCAACTGATCACACCAGGGCACCACCAGACCCCTATCGCCGCAAATGCCGTCTCTGACCCAAGAATCGCTGTCTCGGCTCACCCACAAAAACCGTACTCCGCTGCCGTGCACTCCTGCCGCCAGCTCCTCCATTTGGTCGCCCGAGACCGATAGGAAACTCCCCAGAGAAATGTACAGGACGGAGGCTTCCGGTTGAGAGTCTAGCCACCGAAAGTAATCGGGACGATCATTTTGAGACGCCGATGGGGAGGATATAGTTTTGAGCTCCAAGTAAGGTATCGAAGGTCCGACCGTGTAAATGGGGAGCCGAAGTTCGGCTTTGAGAGCATCAATGGCACTAGCTTCGAGCTCGTAAAAGGTGGTGAAGATTACATACTGAGCTTTCGGCATCCAAGAGAAGCATTCTAGTGCTCTGTGCAAAGTATCTCTGCCTCTGCCTTCAAAGAATGTCGGAAGATCGACCAAACGGGTTGGTGGAAGTCCTGGTATGTAGTTTACGAGCTCATCTCCCCGTTCTGTTGGGCAAAACACATGAATAATGTCCATCAATCTATTTACAAAATCAGAAAGTACCAAATGAACAAAAAAAGGCCGCATTGGGGAAGATAAAAGCTTAAATCAACATGATGATTGATTCTTTTGATCATCCTTCTCCAATCAAACCGCAACCTGCCAGATCAATGGGGAAATGGTTGTTCTGAACGAGGAGGTCAAAGTGATGGAACACTGAGAACACCGAGACCGACATGGTCCAGAACGATCCCACCAGGATCTTCCTCTTGTTCCCGATCCGAACTGCCCAGAAAAGGTATGTGTCGGCCAAGATTGTGGTCACCGGCCGCTCGAGCCGGTCAAGAAGTTTCTCTACAGGAGCCTCCATCTTCGTCATCACTGCTTCTAAGAAAACGGGGAAGTTCTCTGCACGGACTCGCTCGGACGGTATGACATTGGGTATGGAGGCAAATCGGACGGCATCCGGCTTCGGTTCGGACCCGATAAACCCAAGCCACTCTTCCGTCACCACGAAAGTGATGAGAACATCGGGCGTTGTCGACGCCAGGAGCTTGCAGAAGTTCATCAAGGGGTTTATGTGCCCTCTTCCCGGATACGGAATTGCCATCACATGCACCGTACTCGCCGCCCCGGCCTGCGACTGCGAGAGATCCATTGACTCGACCGTTCAAGAAACTTTGAGTTGAAAAAAGAAAGAAGAAAAGAGATGGATGCAATTGTTTCAAGGAATTGTGGACTGGAGAGATCCAACACAATTTCATGATGGTTCTCTCCTTTTAAATTTAGGTCTTATAACCAAAACAAAAAAGCAAAAGAAGAGTCAATCATTCGATAGGAACCAGAATTGGATCATCACATACTCAAGCGTGGCTAAATGGGTGGAATGCGCTGTCATTCAATGTTCCACGCTCATTTCTCTGTTCAAACTTTGACATGGGGACCACGTGTTGTTTGTCGTGATGTCTTTGCACCTGACGTAACTCATGACAATTTTCTGGCGGCTGAAAAGCAAGCGTGGAAAAAGATCAACATAGTAGGTAGGGCCAAGGGATGGACGACTCAAAGACGAGCTTCTCCCATGAAGTGCAAAACTCCTGAGCTTGCTTTACAATGGTGTTTGAGGTTGTATTAACGCAAACCGTTGCGCACGAAAGCATCGATGCTCCAATCGGATGATCCGCCCCCCAGGAGGGCGTTTCACGTTATCTCTTGAAGTTCCTTCGCACTCCTCTTCATTGCCTTGGCTCTCGTCCTTCCGATCCATGAACCGTGCCGGATGAGCGCCATGATTTCTTACCTTGGCACCGCGCACTTGACACCTTTCTTCAATACAATGGTGTTTGAGGTTGTATTAACGCAAACCGTTGCGCACGAAAGCATCGATGCTCCAATCGGATGATCCGCCCCCCAGGAGGGCGTTTCACGTTATCTCTTGAAGTTCCTTCGCACTCCTCTTCATTGCCTTGGCTCTCGTCTTTCCGATCCATGAACCGTGCCGGATGAGCGCCATGATTTCTTACCTTGGCACCGCTCACTTGACACCTTTCTTCAAACCTTTCTTCTGCTTGATTCTCCAACCGATCCTCTTTGTCCTCCACGACCAGCTTGCCCCTTGCCCCTCACACATTGGGCCATGGGTAGGAGCCACAATAACCCATATCTTTCCCGTGTAACTGTTGAGTCCAGACTTGTTGACAATCTAGACTTCAATACCAGTGTTAAGTGGTCTTGGGCCTCTTTCACCTCAAAAGCTAGCTCAAAGGGTGAAGCTTTCCCTCACATTTATAAACTGACCACATGCACGTTCTACAATCGATATGGGACAATCTCAACACGTACAACACCTTGCATTGTGAGTCAAGCCATCGCCAACAATTCGAATCGTGCTTGAGATTGGACAGAGGTGAATCATTGCGCTGCTCGCAAGTTATAGTAGCTTGAGCTTTTGTTTAAGGGAAAAAACCACCAAAAACCCCAAACTTTGCCATCTGTGACACATTTACCCCGAACTTTTTTTTGTGACACCAAAAACCCCGAACTTTGCTTTTTGTGACACATTTGCCCCAATGTATTTAGTCCATGGGCATTTTCGTCTTTTCTCGCTTTTTCTTTTTTTTTCCTTTCCGCGAGGGGGGCTCGCGGCGTCGGCCCGCCGGATCCGCGAGGGGGCCCTCGCCGGCGTCGAGCGAGGGCGGCCCTCGCCGATCCGGCGAGGGCGGCCCTCGCCGGCGTCCGGGCGAGGTTCGCCTCGCCGGCGAGCGAGGGCGGCCTCGCCGGCGCCGGCGAGGGTCGACCTCGCTCGAGCCGGGCGAGGGCGGCCTCGCTCGCCCGGGCGAGGGCGACCCTCGCCGGCGTCGGGCGAGGTTCGCCTCGCTCGGGCGAGCGAGGCCGCCCTCGCCCGACTCGGCGAGGTCGACCCTCGCCGCCGTCGGGCGAGGTCGACCTCGCTGAGTCGGCGAGGGCCTCCCGCGCCGGATCCGGCGAGGGCCGCCCTCGCTCGGCGCCGGCGAGGTCGACCTCGCCAGATCGGGCGAGGGCCGCCCTCGCTCGCCCGGAGGGCGGACCTCGCCCGACGCCGGCGAGGGTCGCCTCGCCCGGGCGAGCGAGGGCGGCCCTCGCCCGACTCGAGCGAGGTCGACCCTCGCCGACGCCGGCGAGGGTCGACCTCGCCAGATCGGGCGAGGGCGGCCCTCGCCGCCCGGCGAGGGCGGCCTCGCCGGCGTCGGGCGAGGTTCGCCCTCGCTGGGCGAGCGAGGCGCTCCTCACCCGACTCAGCGAGGTCGACCCTCGCCGGCGTCGGCGAGGGTCGACCTCGCTGAGTCGCGAGGGCCTCCGCGCCGGATCGCGAGGGCCGCCCTCGCTCGGCCGCCGAGGGTCGACCTCGCCGAGATCGGCGAGGGCCGCCTCGCTCGCCTGTGCGAGGGCGGACCTCGCCGACGCCGGCGAGGTCGCCCTCGCACGGGCGAGCGAGGGCGGCCTCGCCCGACTCAGCGAGGTCGACCCTCGCCCGACGCCGGCGAGGGTCGACCTCGCCAGATCGGGCGAGGCGGCCCTCGCTCGCCCGGCGAGGGCGGCCCTCGCCGGCGTCGGGCGAGGTTCGCCTCGCTGGGCGAGCGAGGCGTCCCTCACCCGACTCGGCGAGGTCGACCTCGCCGGCGTCGGGCGAGGTCGACCTCGCTCGAGTCGGGCGAGGGCCGCCCTCGCTCGCCGGCGAGGGCCCCCTCGCCGGATCCGGCGAGGCCGACGCGGCGAGGCCCCCCCAGGAAAGGAAAAAAAAAAAAAAAAAAAAAAGAAAAGCGAGAAAAGACGAAAATGCCCATGGACTAAATACATTGGGGTAAATGTGTCACAAAAAGAAAGTTCGGGGTTTTGGTGTCACAAAAAAGTTCGGTAAATGTGTCATGAGATGGCAAAGTTTGGGGTTTTTGGTGGTTTTTTCCCTTTGTTTAATGGTAACTTGAGATCAATTCGGTTTGACAGGCTCCTGAGTCTAATCAAGTTTCTATAATTCTTTCCAAAGATTACGTACAAGTAACCAAAAATAGGCATAGTAATCCTCTAAAATTGCATAGCATAGCCATAAGATAAATGCGGAGGAAAATATTAAAGCTTATTAAGCTCCAGCTTTAGCTCGAGTTCATTTGATTATAGCGTAATCAAAATCAAGTCGTGATCAAATATCTTCAATTTCTATACAAGATGAGCTCGAGCGGAAAATTTGATGCTCGATATCACTATGCGAGTTGAATCGAAGCTCGAGCTTGGCACTATATCAGCCCGATACACCTTGCGAGAAAGATGATTGTATTGTAGTGGGCATTTTCGAGAAAGAAACGGATTTGATTAATAGAATCACTTTAACTAGAATGGCTAGTCTGATTTGACATCATAGATATGATGTGGAAACTCAATGGCGAATTGTCCTCTCTCACATGGCGGCATCCAGAATTCAGTTTTTCAAAAGAACGACAATATAAAGGGACCGGAACAACCAAAAGTTGTCTACGCTTACAACTAAAGCTTTCTTCTTTTCGTTTCTTTTTTTTTTTTTCGCCAAAAGCCTCCTTCTTCTTGTTGCGCTCACTTTGGTTCTGTGACATATCAATACCTCTCTTTCCTAGTTTGTTTTCGTTATTTTGGGAGTCACCTCACCTATTTATCTTTTTCTCTAAAGGCGAAGATTCTATAGGCCGATTTATTAATCTCACAATGACAAATTGTAATTTTCCTTGTTTTTTTCAAAGAGAAAATATTACGTGAGTCAGTTTTGCCACGGAGGTGATAAGACATTTCATTCAGCACTCGTCACCTGCCGAGATGGGCCTCACTGGTCCGTTTCTTTGTCTTTGCACCTTGCATCTCTCTTTTTCTTCACCATTTCTTTGTTTTTTTCTTTTTTCTTTTTTTCTTTTTTCCTTTCTTACCTTTTGGCATGTGGCCGACACTTGGCCATGGCTGGCGACCACCCCGTACGACCACCATCACCATCCCTTCCGGCCTCGATTGCGGTCACCCAAGCTTTCTTCTTTTCTTTTCTTTTCTTTTTTTGTCGATAAAAGCTTTCTTCTTGTTGCTGCATTCACTTTGGTTTTGTAAGTTTTCATTATTTTGGTAGTCACCTATTTGTCTTTTTCTATGAAGGCGAAGAGCCAATTTATTAATCTCGCAATGACAAATTGTAATTTTCCTTGTTTTTCTCGAGGAGAAAATATTAGGTGAGTCAGTCTTGCCACGTAGGCGGTAAGACACTTCATTCAACACTCGCCACCTATCTAGATGAGCCTCATTAGTCATTAGTGAGTTTCTTTGTCTCTACACCTTGCATTTCTCTTTTTCTTCACTGTTTCTTCCTCTCTCTTTTTTTTTTCTTTTTTCCTTTCTTTCCTTTTGGCCTGCGGCAGGCACTCGGTCATGGTTGGCGACCACCCCATACGGCCACCATCTCCATCCCTTCCAGCCTCGATTGCAGTCGGCCCAAGCTACACCTTGACCAGCCACCATCTCCACACCTCCGTCCACCCACGCTCGTGGTCGGCTCTATCGTTGCTCGTCTAGATCTAGTCTCGTCCATGGCCACAAGCTTTGCTCGTCCATCGACCGACAGCAACAACACTACAACCTGCGGTGACTGGAGTTTGTCCGTCCACCAACGGCAACGACTACGAGTTACAAAGGTCCAAATGTGGTTGCCATGACTGTCGATTCGCTCACTACTGCGACCAAAGACGGCGAGCAACGAAGTCCAGATCTAGTCTCCACAGTAATGATTGCAAGCAACAAAGTCCAAGTGGCTTGAAGTCCATATAGTCGTTGCCCGTCCAAATCTTGTCACTTCCATGGCCGCAAGCCTAGCTCGTCCATGACTCGCAAAGTGGCTCGTGCACAGATCTAGCAACCACAGCTTGGCCATGGCCATGAGCCTTGACGATGGCCATGGATTGCGAGCTTAAACATCAAAGGAAAAAACGGAGGACAACATAGGGAAGACGGCCAGAGCTTGAACGAGGCCATGGACAAGCAGCATCATGGACGGGCAGATCTTTGAAATCTGGAGACTGACGAGATGGAGAAAAGTCATGGCTCAGCTTAGATGCAATGGTGGTTGAACTAGACGACGCCTAAATGCGTTCGTCATAACACCAACAACAGTCATGTATGAGCAACGCTGACGATTTCAATCGTGGACGGCCAGATCTCGAGGTCTGGAGAACAACGAGAAAGAAAATTGTTGGGACTATCAATACAAATTAGAGCAGGGTGAATAGGTTGAAAAAGAAACTAGAAAGATCTTTTGCGGAATACAAAAACAAAGTAATATAATCAGGAGTGCTGCTGGTTAACATATACGTAATCAGAAGTGGTGCTAATGAACATAAAATGAAGAGATAGAAGATATCACACTAAGTTTCATAGTGGTTCGGATTTATTCCTAAGCCTACATCCACTTTCAAGACTAACAACCACAATCGGGGTAGAATCTACTAATAATCAGCAGTGCAAGTTACAATCGGTTAGTGTTGTTCCTTTCACACGATTGATCACACTATCAGGACAGAACCACTTGATTACTTGCTATTACAACTCAATAACACCATATAGAGACATAATCAGCATCATAGCTACTAACAACAGAAACAAAGCAAAGAAGAAGACTCAAGAGCTATAGACTCGGTTTGTTCGTTTCCACCCAACACCCAACCTTACTACTTTTCTTGGATTAAGTATATATAGCCTTCTAATCCTTCGATGACCGTTTCCCACTCAACTCCATGAAGTATCTGTTGGTGTTATCATTGCTAGCGTCAGACCGGCTCTATCTGACAATAGCAGTTTCCTAAACCAGTGAGAATGCTCCTATCAATGTCCATCTCTTGTCATAATTGCCATAATTGCTCTGATACATATCTAGTACTCCTGATGCAAAGTCCAAGCCCTTGTAACGACTAGTTTCATCTTGATCAATGTTCCCATCAGCTGAGCAGATAGCCAGCACCTTTTAGGATATCTGCACAATCCCTTACCAATAGTCTATCGATGCTATCTCGTGTGGAATGACATGTAATTAGTCTTCCAATAATCCTTTTGGCTTCATCAGCTTCCAAAGAGTTCCAAGGACATCAACACACTCGTTAACTCCTCATCTTTGCTAAATGGCCAAGTCAATATCCAAAGACCTCCAAGGACATCAGCATCACTGCTGATTTCTTGTCTTCATTGAACTCACTGGATCATCGGTATTGTCACTATTTTTCCACCTCATCTGGAACGAACTACTCCAACCAACAATTAGCTGTCTCGATAATGATCCGCTGCTCTTCTATCTTTTGGTCCTTCCAAGCATATTGACGATTGTGAATCTACCAACCTATTCATCTGCGTTGTCCTTAGAAGCTCTACTGAACATCCCCGTTCCATACTTGTTCACAAATGCGGTCCTTCCAAGCTTCAACGAGGCTTGGTGATCCATTCAACTGTTCACCTTATCTTGGTCCTTCCAAGCCATCACGAACATCCCCGTTTTTTTTCGACTTGTTCTCTCTCCATCAAGGTCCTTCAAACTTGTTCACATTTATAGAGATCCTTCTAACTTGTAGACATCTCTACGCCCAATACCGTATTCATATTAGACATCGGCAGTGATCCTTCCATATAGGTAGATCATTCTCGACGGCAAGGCAATCAGAATCACACCTAATACTATTTACGATACCATTTGCATTGTGGCTTGTGTATATATTACCTGGTAATACTCAACCATTACGATCTGAGTTTTCTTGTAGCCTAATACTATTTACGATCTGAGTTTTCTTGTAGCCTTGGTGAGTAAATTCATGAGAACCTTATCACTTTCATTGATTGATCCCTCTTTGGTTTTCGCTGTTTGGGACCACCTAAGGACTTGAAGTAATCGTGACACAGAGATCTAAATGGTCCAATTAGCTTTACCATCTTCCACAAGATTATGACTCGGAGTACAGAGAAACTCTTAAAGAAGAAACACTCTACTTTCTCTGTTGCATACAGGTACAGTAATGAAGCCTTACCATTTTCCACACGATTATGACACAGCACAGAGAAAGTTTTAAAAAAGGAACACTCCATTTTTTTCTGTTGAATGCAACTACAGAAATGAAGAATGTCTTTCTGTTCTGGTAACTAGCAAAGGACAACACAAAATGAACGACACAGTTTTCACGATGTCAAACGTTTCTATAATTATGTTCGCTGATAAATGTTCACCCCGCACATATCAATGTCCTGGCGACACTAATCGAAGTAGTTTCTTTCACGGGGTGATAAGAAATATTACATTTCCAGCATGAAAATCGATGTCGAATCTGAAAGTGGGTCAATAATTGCTATAAATTAGATCATGAGGTACTTTTAACTTAGTGGAGTAGTTTAGGCTGGTGTCCCCCATTCGTGTCCATGTCAATACAGATCATATCAAGTCTTTCGAAAGATTGAAGGCTGTCGGAGAAACTGGACACGAGGTCCAATGACAGTTGATTTTTTTCAGTTCTTGTTGTCTCTTGTGAGATGATTCAACAGGAAAGGAAAGAGAAAGAAAAAATGACTCAAAACATTTCTCTGCTCTATACATAGTTCAGCCAAGGGAGGCATGAGCCCTGTACCAGAGCATACCTGGTGGATCAATAAGCAGTGAACCTGCCTCTACATTGGATCCACCCTTCCTAGAGCTCATAAAATTATGTGAGGAAAACAAAACCCATCAAAATAGTTGTAAAAAGAGAGCTAGTCAACAGAAGTTGAGGCAAGACAAGAATCAACGAATGTGAAGTCCTTAGTCCAACAGCGAACCTGCAAGTTTCGGTAGATGGATCAACGGTCGTGATCAATCCTAATCCTCCAAAATAACAGCTGTCCGCTTTTTGATCATGCTGCTGGTAGTAGCTATTGAATGCATAGGACACATTGCGGGGCCAACCGATGTTGTAACAAGATCCACCAGGAGAGACTGCAGTACAATCAGCAACAGAACAAGCATCTAAAACATTAGCGGTCGCATTGGACAAGTTCTCGTTATTGTTCACAACACACCATCGGGAAGAAAGGTACTCGACATTCTGTGCATTCCACAATTTTCTGGAACCCTGGCCTAAATCAATGTGGTACTTTGCCTGGCCATCAAAAGTAAACACACCCCAGTGTCTCTCGAAATTTCCTGCAGATGTGCTTCGTTGGTCTTCATCTAAAAGGCTTAAAATGTACACTTCCAAAGGAGGATTCCGAGGCCTAAGCGGCGTCCCTGTCTTACTGTGGATGTGGTCTACAAGACCTTTCATGAAGTCCTCAGCAATGACTGAGGTTGCATTAGCTGCTCCATCTGTCGGCCAACCAATCTGAGCTACAACAATTTCCATCTGAGGGAAACCAGCATTATGCAATGCCGTGACTAGGGTGTCATAGCTCAAGTCAAAGCTGTTTTTGTATATTCTGTGGCTGTCATTATGAGGCCGCGCAGTTCCTTTGAAGAGAGCAAAGTCAAGGGAAATATTCTTGCTCTGGTGGAGGCTGAGGAACGGTGATATTGACACAAAGAAGGGCGACCGATGTTCGTTCAAAAATGTGAGCAGTTGAATCATGGTTTTGTTGATGTCAGGCCTGAAATGTCCTTCAGAGGGGAGGTTTGACTCAGACTGAAATGCATCAAAACTGCACGGAACGACAACTTTCACCTTGCTTCCTAAGTTTGCTTTGGTCAAAGCTACTTGGATTTGGGTGGCTGCTCCAAGGACGTATGGATAGAACTGATCTCCATGACTCGAGAGGAATGGCTCATCCCCCACAGCAATGTACCTGTCCATTGTCCGGTCAACAGTGATAATGAGGATGAAGAGAAAGGCATACACCATTATATCTATGTAGCTTTCGAAACAGCTAACAATCTAGTGGAACAATTAATTTTGCAAGTTAAGTTAACAGTGTCAAGTCCTGCCATGCTGCATGAAGGCCACAAACAAAGGGAGAAACAAATTATGTTCCCAACACATCCCAAAAACTCCCCTTCACTACTTTTCTTTTCAAATCAGAAATCTCTTGCGCTCTGACAAGAAAAAACAGCTCCCTGGAAATTTAACTGGAGAGACCATCCATAGATTCTAACTTAATAAATTGAGCAACCCAAATGGAAATCCTCGTATCTAAAAGGTAATTACAAGAGCAAATCAATAGCTTCATTAACGAGTTTTCCAAGAAATTGATTGTCATGACTGATTGGCTCAGCTGCTCAACAATACATAGTTTATAGCGTTTGCTGAATTCGGCCTAGCAGTATTTACCACAATGTGTGTTGCCAGAAAATGTGGACCACTGCATGCCTTAATCAAAAAAATGATTTCTCTCTATACCAATTACTTTTCTTCCTAAGTTGCAACTCACTCAACCAATTAGACATCGTCACAGCGCATTCAGAGTTATTGGCTTCAATAGAGGCTAACATTGTCAACAGCATGAGAAGGTAACCCACTCCCAAGCTCCATATCCATCCTTTGAGGAACATTTACTTTCTTACAAGACTACTCTATTTTTTGGGAATCGAGGCTTCAACGTCTTGTGTTCTTTGGGCTCAGGCTCTTTGAAAAGTATGTTTGTACTACTTTTGATTCATTACAGAATACAGAGTGTTTCGTCATGTTCAGATGAATGTATAATGCCACCATGGAGCAATATGACACTTTACCTTATGTTTCAGCATTATCTATTCACACCGTATAAATGGGCCTATGTTGGCTATTTACTAATACATAAAGCATTTTGGTCAATTGAGGTAGAAACTCCAGTATCTTAAATAGCTGGCAGAAGTCTTTAACCGATTTCAAAACCATGGAGGCTTTTCACATTGGTCAGGCAAGAAAAGATTTTCAATGTTCCCTACTCTGTTGTTAAGTCCTTGAAGCTAATCTAGGACATTGTTTCATAATGCAAATGCTTTTCTAGGATTATCCAGTCGTCCAAAACAATCTCAACAAACATTCACATCCATCTTGCAGCACAACAGGACAGTTATATTCATTAAAACAATACATCTATAACACCTCCATTATTTTCCACATTACAACATTAGATGAATGATTTAGCAAATGGGATTTTCCATGGCCCCTCGAGAAAAATCCACCGTGCCTGATACATTTTGTCATGCCTCCTATGCAAAATACCATACCTCACAACACTCAATACTCCAAGAGTTTTCTATGAACAACCGGCATTTGTTCTTTTGTCATCCAATGGTCACCCATAGATCTTCAGGGATTTGTAGAAATACCCTTTAGTAAATTATTTGCCAGACAGTCTTCCCAGGCATATTAGATTGAGTCTGGACCACCATCTGCCTTAATTAACACAGAAAAAAACAACCTTTATATCGTGTCAATGACCCCATATAGAAAAGCTTCCTTTTTAGGGATGTCCTCTTGGATGTCTATACTATATAGTAAGAAATGGCAAAATAATAATGTACCCAACAGAGAGAAGTGTGAAGTATGAGAAAAGCGCACGCATTATTCCAACACACAACTAGCAGCAGCAGAATATGCGAAAAATTGAAACTTTAAACACAAAGCATACAAGTAAGCATAGAAAGGAATCGAAGCTCGTACTCGATCCGAACACGGGGGCCGCCGGCGGGGAAGTAGCGCGTGACATTGTCGTGGACCCAGCTCTCGGCCCCTTTCCTGGAGGAGTTCAGGGTCCGGAGCATGAGGTCGGGAACGCCGACGGTGACGGCGATGCCGGAGCCGGAGAGCGACCGGAGGACATCGGGGTCGGCGTCGGAGAGCTTGACGCGGGAGACGTTGTTGGACTTGAGGAGCTCCACCACTTTGGGCGGCGGCAGGGGGTGGGACGACGCCGCCCCCCAGTTGACGCCGATGGCCGCGGCCCGAGGCCACCCGGCGATCCCCGCGAGCGATGCTACCGCGAGAAGGCGGAAACGAAGGAGGAGCGGACGAGGGATGCTCGGAGGCATCGGTTGGAAGGAGCGAGGTTCTTGAAATACGGTGGCGGCGGCGGCGGCGGCGGCGGTGGCGGTGGCTCCGGTGCGAGACAGTGAGCTCAAGTATGGAAAGAATGGAGAGGGACTGTGCGGTTGGTTACTTTATTCGATTTGGGGAATTTATGTTTGAAAACATCCTTCGATCACTTACAATATAGAGTGACGTGTCAAGACTTTAAATAGTACGACAGTCTGCTCAATTTGAAAAAAACAAATATTGAACACACTTGATTTATTATATGTTAGCGATGTTAGATGTTCTTAAAAATTTTCTATAGGATATTATTTTATGTCCGAGACAATTATGATGTTATTATTGAATATCTCATATCTTTTAAGATTGCATGTATATCTCTTTTGATTGTGCATGTTTTGATTGATACATGTCACCTTAGATAATTGTCTCGTAAAGCTTATAAATATGCAAATGTAATGTTCATCATGATATATCGAAATATACACAAATTCTCCATTTTCTCTCTTTTGCATTTTAACATTTAACTTGATTAAAGTTGGGGTAGATCACCCGAAAATATGAATTTTTTCGAGATGTGTGGAAGATAGCTGAGATGTCACATAATCGCCAAATCCAAAAAAAAAAAACCCTATTTTGTTTAATTTATTGATTATGATGTGTTACATTATATGGTATATAAGGTTTGTTAGGTGTGGTAAGAGTGAAAAAAATCATGTGCATATATCTGAGTATAGTTTGATGTACAAAGATCAATTTGTATCAACGAAGGTTATTCTGATATTACAACGAGTAAATATATTCAAATAATTCTACCTAACTAGGTAGAAATTTGTTATTTTGTTGGGATAAGTGTACTGGAAGTCCTTAAAATTGTTACAAAAATACAATTGAGTCATAAAACTTTTTAAAAAGTGCAATCAAGTCATAAAACTTACCATGAATGAGTCCTAAAACTTGCACTTTTAAAAGTGTAATCAAATTATAAAACTTGTTACGAAAGCACCATCGAGTTCAAAAGCTTTCAAAAAATGCAATTTATGGAAGGACTTAGTTGGATCAATCTGACAAATTTTAGGACTTAATTTTACTTTCATAACAAGTTTTAGGATTTTCAATGCAGTTATCCCTATTTTATTTCACTGATCTGACTTCAATACCTTTTTGGCTCTAACACGGGCTCCATCTATTTGTTGAATGTCTATAACATGAATAAGTACCACGTACATATGCATTAATGTATCCGATCACAAGACACCACATGAGGATTTGTGTTTTGAACAAGATAAAGCATTAATAAATGGATTTAGGTGCTGTTTACTAATGATCTCCTGGCGAGCAGACATACATACCCTCCGCATCCTTCAGCTCGAATATTTGCAATCAAATGTCTCACCCACTTGAAGATTCCTTACTGCATCCCCTGGAGCCAGCAGAAATGATCCACAATTGAGAGTTGAAGAGATAATTGATATAGAAAGCAGAGAGGAGAAACTGCAGGCAATGCAGAGCAACCTGCTTGCACAGGAGAAGGCTGTCATTCTTGCAATTCCTTAGAAATGCTGACGAAAACAAATTGATTTGCCCTGGTGACAGAAGTGGACAGGTGCCTGTTAAAACTGCCTACATTTCTTTGGGGAAAAGGAGGGGAGAGTTGTTTCCTTTGACCCTTCAAGTTCCAACCAGATTGAGAAGATAGTATGGAAGGGGATTTGGAACATCAAATGCCTTTGAAAAGCAAAACACTTCTTGTGCAGATTGTGTTCTAATGTTCTTGCTACCATGGAGAAACTTGTTTAGAAGAAGAATCAAAACAACTCCAAATTCCCCTTTCTGTAATGAAGGAGTAGAATAGTCAACATGTTCTTTTTCTGTGTTATTGTTGTCACTGTGTATGGTTTGGAGGATTAGAGTTGGAGGTGGCTAGAGAATAGTTCACATTTGTAGATAGGTGGTTGCTGTGTTGACTCAGGGAAAAGAAACTTCGGGAAGGAGCAGAAGCAGCGGTTATTAACAAAGATTGCATTTTTTCAGCTGGCATATCTGGAAAGCTGGTTGTTCTGTCATTTTCAGAAATTGTATGCCCAACCCTAATGAGGTTTTAAAGAAAGCCCAGATAGCTTGGAACGAGTTTATCAGATTGCAGGAGAAGAGAGTGGACCTCAGACAGATGACAGAAACGAATCTGAGGCAGATCGAACGGATTGGCAAAAGCCGACCAAAGGGGTTATCAAGCTAAACCGCAATGGTGCTGTTGATGCAGAATCCTGGCAGGCTGGAACTGGTGTGGTAGTTAGGAATGAAAGAGGAGAATTGATTGATGGAGCTGGAAGATTTCCCCATGCAAATGAAGCGGAAATGGCTGAAATGCTGGCAATACAGGATGGACCAAAAGCTGGCAAAGGAGAAAGGTTGGCAAAGCATCATTGTAGAGACTGATTCACCGAATGTTTTCAACAGATTGAAGAAGGGAGAGCCAAAGAAACTGGAAAAACTGAGGACATGGCACGAGTTACTACCCAAGAAATGAAGGGTACTAGCAAGTGTTAAGATGGAATTTAGGTAGACGCAACGCTAATGAATAGGCTAGTTGGGGTTGCTAAAAGTGTCCCACCTCTTGGGTGGAAATGCCAACCCCTCCGCCCCCAACCTTCTTTTTGTCACTTTTGCTGCATGATCCTCTATGATGTATTTGCAATGAAATTAATAAATTCTTGGCAAAAAAATCAAAAATTAATATCTCGAAACACTTGTTAAAGATGTTTAATTCGGAAATATCCAAAATTTAAAACATTAATTGATTGTGCATATCACAAGAACCGTCGGTGCGTTCAAAATGGTAACGCCATCTTATTAAATTTTGCTATTTAATGAATGCATGTATTTCTTAGACGCGGCACGCGCGAGTTTCCCGCTGGAAACGAGGGAGTGAGAGAAAAGCGGGGGAGGGGGAGGTGGGGGAACAGTGGAGAGAAAAGTTCACGGGGGCGGTGAGCTCTTGGGATTACGCTAGAAAAGCCAAGTCGCCAATTCATGCGCAGAAGCGAAAATGCTGCTTCTTGTTGGCCATGGGAGTGTCCTACAGGCCCCATCCTCGAAGACCCTCCAACCTCCTCCCTTCCCTTGTCGCCCTCTCCCTCTTCTCCCTCTCCGCCCTCCTCCTCTACAAGGTATCTCTCTCTCTCTCTCTCTCTCTCTCTCTCTCTCTCTCTCTCTCTCTCTCTCTCTCTCTCTTGCTCTCTCATAGGATTTGCATCGACCCGTAATTGTGTGTGTTTTCCTGTGGCCATGTCGTCGTGGCGCTCGATTTGGAATCTGGGTTCCTCTGCATCTGTCTCCATTGGCACTCCCCCTTGGTCTCTTTCCGTTGTCTTGCTTCGTTCTTTCTCTCTCTTGAATTCACTGGGGCATTCCGTCGAGCAGGTGGACGACTTCGCGTCGCGGACGAAGACGGTAGCCGGTCACAACTTGGACCCCACTCCCTGGCACCTGTTCCCTCCTAGGACATTCAATGAGGAAACCCGGTATGCTCGCGCCTCCAGGATCATCCAGTGCTCTTACCTTACCTGCCCCTATGCTGCCAAGCCGATCCGGGGACAGGATCGGTCGCGACCCCGGTCTGCCCGAGCCTGCCCGGGATTCTTCGCCTGGATTCGCCGTGATCTCAAGCCCTGGGTGCGGACCGGGATATCATCAGCTCATTTGATGGAAGCAAAGAAGTTCGCAGCGTTTCGGGTGGTCATATTCGAGGGAAAGCTATATGTGGATTTCTATTATGCTTGTGTGCAGAGTCGGGCGATGTTCACGATTTGGGGACTGCTGCAGCTCCTCAGGAGGTATCCTGGGATGGTGCCTGATGTTGATTTGATGTTTGATTGCATGGACAAGCCCAGTATTAACAGGACCGAGCATGCCTCAATGCCTTTGCCATTGTTTCGATATTGCACCACCCCAGAACATTTCGATATTCCATTTCCGGATTGGTCTTTCTGGGGATGGTAAGAATCAACTGGAGCTTTCAACAGTCTTAGTTTCCAATAGATCTGGTTGCCTGCTCTTTCTTACTCGGCAAGAATATGTATAATGTTTCATGTTTTCTCAAGAGCTAATATACGGTTGAATCTTCTTGTTTTTTCCACTATCTGTTTTAGTTTTCGGTAATGATCTCTAGGGTCAACTTGGAACTCGGTTCCTGTGCCTGGCTTAACCTTGTTGTGATATGATCTATTGGCACCATAAGGAACCATTGTAACTGCTGATAAGTCGAAATATACAGGAAGCTCAGTCTTCCTGAGTCCCAAATGCATTCAAGTAGGCCAGTTCAGGTGTACTGTTGCCTGATTTGCTTGTAACTACTCTTACAGGCCTGAGACAAACTTAAAGCCTTGGGTGGAGGAGTTTAGAGACATTAAACAAGGCTCCCAAGCTCTCAGTTGGTCAAAGAAGTTCCACCATGCTTACTGGAAAGGAAACCCTGATGTGGACTCTCCTGTGCGAACAGAGTTACTGAAATGCAATCATTCCAGGATGTGGAAGGCACAAGTGATGCGTCAGGTGAGTCCACAGAATTGCATGGACTTCCATGTCGCTCAAAACTCCTATGCAGTTGTGAAGTCATGGCTTTGTTTCTGAATGTCACTTTGTCGAATGTCTCATAGGATTGGGCAGAAGAAGCAAAAGCTGGATATGAGCAGTCGAAACTATCAAACCAGTGCAACCATCAGTGAGTTTTTATGAAATGCCTTAGATTGCTGAAAAGAAGAATATATGTGCTCTGTTATTGCACAATCTTACCTTCCTGCGTTCTATCTAATTCAAGTTTGCCAAAAGTCGTATTCATATACCGGTCGAGTAAGAGTTTCTGCTTCCCATTCAAGATTATGATGTCTTCTTGTATTAAAACAATGCAAAAGGGAGGAAAGTTTCTAGATTTACAAGTGAAACTTTTGAGAGCTCAAGAAGTGTCTCATTGTTGGACAACTGCAATTACTTGTGTGTAGTCTATGATCCCCTTAAATTGGAAATATTCATCCCCTACCCTTTTCACTCTATTGAGTCTTGTCTTTGTACTCTCACAGGTACAAAATATATGCTGAAGGTTATGCTTGGTCTGTGAGCTTGAAGTACATAATATCATGTGGTTCTCTAGCCCTAATCATATCACCTAAGTATGAAGATTTTTTCAGCCGAGGTTTGTTTCCAATGAGGAACTATTGGCCCATCTCTTCTACTAATTTATGTCCTTCCATCAAATATGCTGTAAACTGGGGAAATGCAAACCCATCAGAGGTATGAGTCCCTACTTTGACTTGCTTATTTTTCTCAAACTGATCTTGCTTTATGTGCCACTATTGATCACAGCCAGTAAACCTGTTTACGCATTGTACGAGTTTATACTTTGATCGAGGACTTCTAAAAGATATCTGTTAAACATTGGGCCAGGAGTCTTCTAGTCAATTCTAAATTTTTTAGTTTCTGGAGTATTTCATAGTTGGGTGATCCCGTACACCAATTTCTCCAGCATGAGATCTTGAGTGAAAATATCGATTATGAAGTCATGGACTTCTTTTCTTTGCCATATGCTGATCATGGACTTGACAGTGGGAGATTAGCCTCATCTGATGCAATTCACTTCAATTGCAATAGCATCAGTAAAGATGATGCCAGGTAGCATTAAAAGCAGTTCTATTCAGCAGCTCATAATTTAGTGGAGTCAACCTCCATTCCTAAATTTATGAAGTAGCCAGAAGTGGTCTGTCTTGATTTACGAAATTTTCCTCATGCTTTCTCGTAACCTTGCAAAACTGTTTGTATAAATTTTCTTATGATGAGTATTACCTTTTTTCAACCCATCCTTTTTGGTCAAGAAAATATGCAGAAGTTGCTCTTTTTTGTCCTCATTCTGCAGCGGGGATAGCTCGTGTTTTTTGTATCACATTTTTTTGCTTTTAGTGGAATGCCTTTTCTATTCATCAAACCTCTTTTCCTGTGAAACTCCATGGTTAAATCTTTTGAGACTGGTTTTGCGATTGCATACGGTCTCAACTTCTATGAGAAATATGAAATTCGAGGTGCTATAAGACACTGAGCCACCTAAGTATATATGTCAAGCTAATGAGAAAGAAAGATGGAGAAAGGTTACAGAATTTTATCGTAATTATGCATCTTGAGACATCATGAGGCAAGGCATTCATATATGCTCCTTTCTTCAAATCTTGAAATTTAGGCTGAGGCAATTGGAAAAAGAGGACAAGATTTCATGGAAGATTTGAGCATGGACAGGGTTTATGATTACATGTATCATCTCATTATGGAGTACTCAAAGCTGCAGGATTTTAAGCCAATCCCCTCTTCGTCTGCCCGGGAAGTTTGTTTAGAATCCCTACTTTGTTTTGCTGACACCAAGCAGAGGCAGTTTCTGGAAAGATCCACTGCTTTTGCTTCTGAGGGAGCTCCATGCTCCTTTGAGGCAGCCCGTGGTATTACAGTCACAAACTGGATTAAGCAGAAAGAGAAAGCAATCCAAGATGTGAGAAAGAAGGAAATGTCAAGTGCAGAGACACGGTCAGATTAGGACAAGAACTTCTTCTCCTTCTTCTTCTTCTTCTCCTCCTTCTTCTTCTCCTCCTCCTTCTCCTTCTTCTGCTTCTTCTTTCATGCAGACAAATCAAATTGTATAATTCTCAAGGTGATATGGATTAGATGGTTGAACATGCCATCATAGCATAGATTCACAAAGCTAGTCATTCATGTTTGTAAGACAGTTGCATTGACTATACGTTGTCTATGGAATGCCATCATCCCCAATTCTTCGGTTGATGTTCATTTACGTTGCATTGATAATATTCGTAACCCTATGGAGTGGGCTCAGTGGTTAGAGAATGAATTTGCTTGTGAGTTGGGTGCAGGAACAACTTCGATTTCTGCAATAAATCAATCCGGATTTAGGACAACGAAAATTGTGCAAGTTGGATCTTACACAATAAATCGAAAGTAATCCACATCAACACCGGATTTGACAGAATGACACTGAAGAAACAAATCATAAGTTGACACCTCTTTCTAACATAACCCCGATTAAAACCCGTGAGAACTCGACTTTGTGAATTGCGGCAAACCGATCCTACATCATCCCATCGCACTCAACTCCGGCAGCTCAATGAAGATGCGCTCGATTCTGGCGCTCACAGTTGCCTGGAAACTTGACCGCAACTTCTGTCATTGATTCACACTCGCAATTGAAGATGAGTCTCACATCACATGACATTCGCAATAGAGGTTGTGGAGGTTTCAAGGGACCAGAATTGGGAATTATTGCTGGAGACAATTTCTAGACTTGCAATGGACTGGAAATTAGAATTAGGAGTCAACAAAGCTGACTCGAAACCTTTTTATTTCTTAAATTTTAACACCGTTTTTTGGGATTAGAAAAAGACACAACAAAATAACGTAAGACCAAATCAGATGTCTGGCAATCCTAAGTTGGGCTCTGATATAACCAAATCTCTCTTCTCCCAATCTGTTATATCTTCAGTTTTATATCCTGCCTCGATGTACATTTAACGTAATTTCTATCGGTAGTTGGTAGGTGGTCATTAACAAGGAAGTGAGGTTTGGTTTCAGTTAAGGTTTCAAATGCATCTAAAAACAGAAAGTGATGTCGATACGTGTTGCCTTCACTTTTAAGCATCGAATGTACTGTGAATTCGATGTCATGTATCTGGAATATGGCTTTCTCTTTATGTGGGACCACCTTTCTCCCCACAATCCCACTTTCACTTTCAGAATGTCTCAAGCAAATGTTTTGTTCTAAACTCAGGGAATCACTTTGTTTGTTAGAGTTCCCTTTTACAGTAGGTTGTTGGGTATTGGATTCTGACGGTTTGTCCTTGCTTCTCATCAATGTGAAGGAACATATTGATACTTTGCTTGGACAGCAATTTGCTGAACAAGATATAAGGTTCTCACGCGAACACACTCTGGCTTTGCGTCTCTCAGGGATAAGTAGATTACATTTCATCCGCGATGCGGTCGTGGTCACAGCCAGGAATGTCAAGAGACCATAAACGGCCTTTCCATTTCAAGATCTGCTTTTGTTTTGGAAGGAAGTTCGCTTTCACGGAGGTTAGACCTCCTAGTGATGTCCAGCAACTGTTTGAGCGGTACTCCGAAAATGGCACGATGACCATCGATCACTTACATAGATTTCTGGTTGATTACCAAATGGAAAAGGATGCGACCAGAGAGGATGCAACGTCAGTCTTACACAGCCTGAGGCATCATATCATGTATAGGAAGGAACTGAATCTTGACCACTTCTTCCGGTATCTCCTTAGTGATCAGAACCCTCCGGTCCTGCCATCACTTGGGGTAATTAGTCATTATATATACATTTTGTCTTCAGCTTCATCAGACAATGAAAGATACTGGACTGGCCTCTGACCGTTCAATTGCTCTTTTTACAAGTTTCGACTTGCTGCGACCTGTGTATCTTGGCTAAAGCATTGGACTGGCCTTTTCACATTGGTTTTCCATCGTCCAGATAACGCAAATGTCGTTTCTTTGTATTTCAGGTGCACCATGACATGAATGCTCCCCTTGCTCATTACTATATGTATACAGGCCACAACTCCTATTTAACTGGGAATCAGTTAAGCAGCGACAGCAGCTTTGAACCGATCGTGAAAGCTCTAAAGAAAGGTGTAAGAGTTATCGAATTGGATCTGTGGCCAAATTCCACAGGAGGCAAAGTAAAAGTCTGTCATGGAGGGTATGACCGATTAACTCAAAAGCATTGTTGTTCTTTTCTTTATCTTCTTCTCCAACCATCCATGGACTATCTGCCAAAGTTCTCGTCGAGAACTTTTTGCCACCTCCCTAATCTACTAATTTTTGACAAATTATAATGTGTATCAATTATCACAGGCATCAGTATTTTCATTCCAAGGTTAATGATTACATGGTAAAAAATCTGACATATATTCCGATGTTCTGCTGAAGTTAGTGCCCAAGTATCCGCTTGATCTCATACTGACCTAGTTCCAGATGAAGTGGTATCTGCTGGCAAGTATCTAGTAATCAGTCATCATTGGAAATTCGAATTCCTATTTAGTTCTCAGTACAAATTTGCTTCTGTATCTTTGACAAGTAATAGTTTCTGTTGTAGCATGATCTAGTAATATCATGCTGTTTCATTATCCTCAAACCGAATGGCCTCCGTATAGTTGCAAATTTGCTACTGCAGACTGCTTATTTACTATATTTCAGTTGCTCGGTCCAAAAATCTGTGTATCTTAAAATTGATTCAGGCAAGAAATTTAAGTGACTGGTCAATTGTCATAACATCATTCTCTTTCCTTTTGTAACTATGCATATATACATGTAGCATCTGATTGATTTCCCGTGTCATATACAGTACACTTACTTCTCCGGTCGATCTCAACAAATGTCTACATGCCACCAAGGACCATGCTTTTCTTGCATCTGAGTTCCCCGTCGTGATAACCTTTGAAGACCATCTAACTCCACATCTTCAAGCTAAGGTGGCCAAGGTACTTTAGAAAAGGGAAAGTATACTATTTGATTTTTTATTTTTTTTTGCCCTGTTAAATGTATATTCACCAGGCTACTTTGCTCCAGATGGTCACGAAGACCTTTGAATCGAAGCTGCATCGACCCGATTCAGACCAACTAGCAGAATTCCCATCACCAGAATCACTGAAAAGGAAGATCCTGATTTCAACAAAGCCTCCGAAAGAGTACCTTGAAAGTCAGACAAGCATGGAAAAAGAAGAAAACACTGTGCAGGTGAAACAAAATCTGCAATACTTACGTCTTGTAGTGTACTTTTGCACCTAGAATAAATTAGGAGGTCTGATTACTGTTTACTAGTCCGAGGGATATTCAGACGAAGGCGAAAACGACCAGGATGAAGAAGAGAAGAATGTAATCCCCGAGTACAAGCATCTCATTGCCATCCACGCCGGAAAGCCAAAGGGCAGACTCGAGAATAGTCTAAGGATTGATATGAGTAAAGTTCGACGCCTTAGCTTGAGCGAACAAGAGCTTGAGGATATGTCAAGGACACATGGACAAGATATTGTGAGGTAACTCTTTATTCTCGAACTAAGCAAACAACAGGGTTAAGCCTATGTCCTTTCTTGCCCACAACTAGTACACACACTGCCGTGGTGGACTTGTGTTGGCGAAGTTTAATGCTTCTGCTTCTAGGTTCACTCAGAGGAATTTGTTGAGGATATACCCCAAGGGTACCCGTTTCGATTCGTCCAATTACGATCCTCTGCTCGGGTGGATGCATGGAGCTCAAATGGTCGCGTTTAACATGCAGGTTTTGTTTTCATGACCCGGCTTAATTGGAATCATCATCAATGTTTACCGTTCTCTATTCATCTACCTGTGCTGCTCGATGTTTATATGTTTTTCGACATGCTCTTTTCAAGTAGCCTCGCCTTCCCTTTTCTTTTCGGTCATAAACGCCGACCTAGAAATGTTTGTTGGAACAAGTTCTAAAGCAGCTGTCTCTGAGATCAGCTTATATAATCCATTCAATTTTGTTTCTCATCGAAGGGATACGGGAAGTATCTGTGGATTATGGAAGGAATGTTCAGAAGCAATGGTCGGTGCGGTTACGTCAAAAAACCGGATTTTCTATTGAATCCAGGCAATATTTTCGATCCTAGAGAGCCCTTACCGGTTAAGAAGTGCTTGAAGGTGTGTAGTCCTATTGTGCAAAATGGTTTTTTCTACATCTGCACCAACAAACATTTATATCTGGAAAGAGGTCATGCCTACGGTGGAAAAAACAGGTGACGGTGTACATGGGAGAAGGGTGGCATTTGGATTTCAAAAAAACTCATTTCGATCAATTCTCGCCACCTGATTTCTTCGTGAGGGTAAGTAGAATATAGATTCGATTCGTTCAGCTCACAACCGACGCTTCATGACGGCCAGGGGCTTGCGTGCTTTACTTTATTCAACTCTTGGATATGCATTGCTAGGTTGGAATTGCAGGAGTTCCAGCTGATTCAATCATGAAGAGGACCCGGGCAATTGAAGATGACTGGACACCGGTGTGGAACGAGGAGTTCGAGTTCCCGCTCACAGTTCCCGAGCTGGCCATCCTCAGGATCGAGGTCCTAGAGTACGACACGACCGGACACCACGACTTTGGCGGCCAGACATGCTTGCCGGTGTCGGAGCTAAGAGAAGGGATCCGAGGAGTTCCTTTGCACAACCGTAAGGGGGACAAATACCGATCCGTAAAGCTGCTAGTGCGGTTTGAATTCCTCGAACCTTATTCTGAACAGGATTACGACGGTTGACAAGATGTTTTTCCTTTCCCATGTTTGGAAAGCCAGTGATTCTGCCACACCCCGATTCCTGCTGCAAATATAAGAGTAATGACACGGTCATCCTTCTCTTCAATTAAAGGATGTAGCTTTAAAGTCAAAATAATGATCAGAATATCTATAATCCAAAAAGATGTTTGAATACATTTCTAACGCATACCCAAAATTCAACTACCAAAAGTTTCCCTGCTATTAGCGCTCTCGTCCTACTTGATGCTAACCGAGGGACTTGACAAAGATTAGGAAAGAATGGTACGAGCAACCGCGGGCTAGTGAGTAGTACATCTCTTCCAAGCACATCGAGCATTCACTATACATTTTTATAAAAACGACATCTCAACTCATCAATTCCAAATCTTGTATATCATATACGTCAAATATCGAAATAGGTTACATCTTTTCGATAAAATTTTCATATTTAATTACACTATAAAATTGACAACAACAAATCAACCATCAGTGGTCAATTCCATTGATTAATCTCTATTGAACAAACATCGATGGTTCATTCCATCGACTAATCTAATGCTCAATATCTAATTATAATCACGCTTAACGCTCGTGACAAAAGCGACCAAGCTTACCCCTTAGTCAGGTCTCCACCTATATCAGCTGTTAGTTTGGCCCAAAAGGACATCCCGATAACAGTATGCATATTTACACCCTCAATGGTTAAGTTCTAGTCATAGCAACATGATCATAATCTATATATATTATTCTCCAATAACCCACAAAACAAATCCATAACTCACCTTATAAACCGGTTTCACAGACCAAATCATATAAACTTTCACAATTCCATTTATCAAATAGAATGCATTTCACAAATCAATACAAATAGTTTTTAGCAATTCCCTTCAAAAACCATTTAATCAAAATATTCACAAATAACCATTTCAAACTATTTCAAATAAGGCTTTCTAATGCCTTTTCAACCATCTAAAAAAAGTAAAAGTTATATCTAATTTATGCAAGAAATATGCTCTTTCATAACTCATACTATATTAAATCTCTACCACTTTCAAGAGATATGAGTTTGTAAATTCATTAAAGAGATAGTAGTACTCACTTGAGAAAGCTGAAAACCACCTACAAAGGCTACTTGAACTAACCAATTCGTATTCCTATTAATTAATCGAAAAACCATATCAAAATTCGAGTAAAATATTATTCTAACGAATGACTCGACTTAACTATGCTTAATCATCAACCAATCGATTCATACGTGCTAACGAAGAAACTCGTTTATAGCAAATGTTCATCTTCATCCAATACACGTATTGTCCATTACGCACAACTCGCCAAACTTTATAAATTCGTTCCAATCAAACCATACTTCATAATCGACTTTTGTCAATCTATATAGACCTACAACTTAGCAACTCCAAAATCTCAAAATTCGCATAACTCCGAATTTTATGACCTAACGCCGAAAATAACTTTGATTAGACGAATAATGGGCTTCAATACTTATCGGGCGTTGTAATGCGGAGCTGATTCGACTTGTCAGGGCCATCGTTGGAGCTTTGTGGCCAGAATTTAAGGGGTATATTGGGCTGGGCTTTGGGGCCCATTATTAAAGATTCCTCTCACTAGCTGTCTCTTGTTTTGACACCAGTACTCATGCATTGTGCTTCCAATGAAAGCAGGATCACTGCTCTGCTGCTACCGGCTCTTTGCACTTTGCTTTGCTCAGACTTGAATTTGCCGGTTCTTGCCCTGTCGTTTCATCTTTTCGCTGCAAGTGCCTTCTCAGCTATATCTCACTCGCGATGTCTTACCGGGTAGACTTAGTTTAATAGATCACGCCAATCGCATGCTAAGAAATAGCAAGATCAGGATCCATGCTTGATCTTAATGAAAATATAATTTCACAAACGGTTTCCGCGTCGTGATTGGCTCGATCTATCACGCTTGTGTCCAATAGTTTTTTTCTCACCAACCTTCTCTAATCTAATGCTTCACGCTGGACCAAAAAGCATCGATATCGCCCGTGCTTTGGCCGAGCCTATAGCGAGCCTAAGACAGCGTGCTCAAGTCTACATTTCCCAAGTCCACCCGATTTAGCTATTTCCCCCCTCTTGAGCCAGGTCCAATGTGAAAAACTTTTGCCTCAGCCCGCCACTTGTACGATTAGCGGTAGGGGTGAGCATGATTCCAGGTTCCAAGATATGCAGGGTAGATTTCAGGTTTCAAAAATTGGGGAATCTGTTTCGACGGGTAGATTCCAGGTTCTAAGTAGGTGGAACCTGGAACCTGGAATCTAGAACCTGGAATCTGAAACCTAAATAAGTTTTTTGTGTTTTTTCTTGGTCTATGTTTTCATGTGATCCTGTAGTGTTTCATGGTATTAGATGATGAATGTATAATCTGAAACCACTAGTCTGAGCTTTCATTTCATGATTTGTTAATGTTTCATATTTTTTGTGTATCTAAATAGAAGTTGTGATTAGTAGATCAAAGCAGCAAGTGGTGAAACCTAGGTAAACCCTGGAACCAACCTGGAACCTGTGATAGGGTAGGTTCCAAATTCCAAAAAATGAGAAACCTATTCTCGTGGATAGATTCCAGGTGGAACTTGTACGGAACATGGAACCACTCACCCTCAGTATCGATTCACGCAATGACTTCTCATTTTTATTGTATATTTGAATTATAATACCAGGACAAATAGTCTTTTATATTCTCTTTGGTGAATAGCTCGGTATTATTGCGTTCATTTTCATTTTGTTTAACTAAAAATGAAATTAAAAAAAAAAGAACCTATTAGACCCTAGAACCTATGACAGGGTAGGTTTCAGATTCCAAATTCCGATGAGTAGGTTTTGATGTAGCTAGCAAGGATCACCTAGAGGGGGGTAAATAGGTGATCTTAAACAATTTTTGATAATTTATGCGGAAACAAAATAAATCACAGTAGAGTCTGAATAAAATTCAGATTCAAGACATATTATAAAGACGGTGCTCTTGATGTGCAGAATGTAAAGCAAGAGATAAGAGATAGAGAATCTGCACACAAGTTTATAGTGGTTCGGCTTATAGCAAGCCTACGTCCACTCTCCCACGCTTACAGCCTACCGGCTAGATTTCACTATGTAATCAAGAGGAATTACAACTTCTGAGTGTTAACACTTTTGTGTATGATAGGACTCTCTATCTTACACAATCACTCTTTCAAAGTGTCCATCAAGATCTTTAATGTTTGGCTTAGAACGACAAGAGAAATTATTGGAGTATGCTCAGACTTTGGACTTGTTGATTCTTGATTCTGTTTATCCTTCTGCTATTCGTTGATCTCCTTAAATACTCCTCTACTTCCAAAACTAGCCGTTGGACAGCATTTAGAGGATCATCTTCCAATCTTCACCTTGGACAGATTTGTATAGAAAGGATTGAGTAGCCGTTGGATAACAGATTCTGAATCCCGCTGATTCTGGTCGCCCATACAATCAGAATCTTGGTTTCCATAAGTAGAGCTTTGTCCGTTGTAATGCATTCTTGTCGTGATGTTTGATTGTCAATCAATTTGATTTAGATTGAGACAATCAGAACATTCCTTCTGTGAAATCCATGCCGGATCACTAGTTTGTTGTGATATGTTACGAATTAACGTACGAAGAAATTCTGCGTCTCGCATCTGAAGAACCTGCGTCTGCGTCGATTAATTTCTTCGTCTGCATCTGCATCTGAATAACTTCTGCTTCTACATCTGCATCTGAATAACTTCTGCGTCTGAATATCAGAATCTAGATTATGTGGGTCTTCAAAAACATACTTGACAGTTTGTAAAGTCTAAATAACTTTCTTCTGAGCTTCCAGAATATACAGACCTGGAATAAAATTGTTCAGAATAAGTATCAGATTTACAATAACATAGAAGGTTTTGTCAACTTCAAAATCAATAGGAGTTTTCCTCAACAATCTCCCCCTTTTTGATGGTGACAAAACTTTCTTTGCAGATTGAATTATTTTGAAAATAAATAAACATATTAAGCTCATGAAACACAGATTGAAAGAGCAAACTCTGTTGATATCTGTGTCTTTCTTCCTTTGAATATAACCTGCAATTCTGCACATAATTTCTCCCCCTTTTTGTCATCAGCAAAAAGATAATAATAGAGAGAATAAGGTACTGAGATTTAACTAATCAACCAGTCTAACAATAAGTACGAGATATATTACAGACCAATTGAACAATGGAGAGAAAAGTTAAAAAACAGGCTATTTTTTAGGAGTACGAATCATTTGAAAATTGTCCAATATTGAGACAGCCTCCTCAATCTTCGAACTGCATTGACTGATGGCCTTATCCATGTTGGATGAGCACATAGTAATGGCTTCCTCTAATGCTGCTTTATCTGCTGCTGCCTGAAGTTGTTGAGCCTTGGTGTTTTCCTCAATAATATTCTGTAGATTCTACATATGTTGTTCTAGAGCAGCTTGCTTGTCTTTAATCTCAAGCAGAATAGAAAGTATGTTCTGATTTACTAATGGCTGACCTTGGACATTAGCTTCCTCAGACTGATTGTACCCTGTGGCTGATTCTGGTGGAATCTCCCCCTGAACAGGTGATGGATCTTCAGAAACATGTTCTGCATGAATGGATTCTGAAACCTTGGGATCTGGTTCAGGAACATGTTCTGAGCCTCCTGTTTCAAAGTGTTCAGCTTCTGCTTCATCATTTTCATCTTGCAGAAGAATTTTACACTTTTTGCTGTACACTTTTATTGGGGTAGGAGAATCAGGCTGCTTGCTGGCTGAACTTGTTCTTTTCCTTGGCTCCTTTTTTTTCTGAACTTTCTTGCCAACAGATTTTACCTTTGACTTTTGAGCCTCTTTTCCTTTTACTATGTCCCTTATATCTTCAAATTTCTTCATTTTGGAGAGCATTCTTTCTCCAACAAACATACGAGGAAGCATAGTTTCTCGCAACTCACCAGAAATAGATATATTGAGATACATGAAGATACGAGTGATTAAAGCTCCATACGGCAGATGACCCTTATCCTTCTGTAATGCTCTGTACATATGGAATATGATGAGGTGAGGGAGAGAAAAGGATTGACCTGTCAAGATAGCCCAAATGAGCTTGATCTTTGATTTGGATAGGTCAGTTTTTGAGGCATCTTTTGGCTTCAAACAGT